ATCCACCCTTTTGGACACGCCAGGAGGAGCTGCACTGAGCTTGTCTCAGCTAGAAGTCACTCTTAGACTTTGCATAGCTTACAGGTGGAGTCATGGCTTAGTAGTTTCAGTCTGTTTTGCCCTAGACATTGTTGTTGTGTATGGCTTTACCAGCGGGAGGGCCCCTTCCCCTATTCTCTTATGGGCTCCCCTTCCACGCCCCCTTAGTTCACTCCAGAGTTGTGTCCATGAGCACCTGTACAAACTGGTATCAGAATAATCACTCTGGTTGTACTACTGCAGGATTCAGCCACTTTCTCTGTACCACTTATGCGTCTTTCCTGTGTTCAGAATGTTTGTGTCATTTAATACAAGCTGTTCTTGAAAGATTCTGGTTCAAAGAAAGGATAAACTCTTTATATGGATGTTAAGATTCATTGGGTTGAATAGGGAAATGGGGATCAGAGTAATTTATTTTCGGAGCACATCTGTAGTGATTGCACAATAATTTGCATAAGGTGCACTATAGAGTGTTCAAGGTTCAAGGATTTGTAAATATATTTTTCTGTAATGCTGGATTTGCTCCACAGGCAGGCCATGGCTCCTTTCTCTTTCCATTATCGCTGTTGTGGTAATGGAAAGAGAAAGGTGGTCAGGTGGTCATGGAAGAGAAGAAGAGCAGAGCAAATGACCTCCTGCTACTGCCAGGTTGCTGGGCTGTGGCTCAGCCAAAGCTCCTTCAGACTCCAGTGAGAGGTTTTACTAAGAGAGGCCTTCAGGGTTTGGTCTTGGAATACCATCTGATATAATGAATGTTGGTGAACGACTTTTTTTTTTTTTTTTTAAATGCATTAATCCCTTCTAACAGGACTCTGTCTAGAAAGAATTTTGCTGAACACCAGTGCATAACTATATTTAACTGTGCTGGCTGAGTAAGGCGTTATTTGCATAGTGTTATAACTCCAGAGACGGCACCTCTTCAGGGGAACAGAATGGGATTGTGTGTATGGACACCTGCCATGCACAGACATAGACAGGTGTGTGTATGTCTACAAAAATATACGTGATTATATACCCAAATGATATTTCATCTATGCTTGGTTTATAATGTACCATGTCAGAGTAGAGGGACAGATCTCAAAGATTTTTATATTATTTTCCAAAATATCAGCTCAGATAGAATCCCTTTTAATACGGTTTCCAGAGAAAATGAGGTTTTTGTGGTAATTTGGTGTTTTGGCTTTTACATTTGGCCTGTAACAATCTTTGAGTTTCATCGCCAATTTTAATTAAACTTGATATGGGGGTAGAAGTCCCAGAGATATGAAGTTTTTACAGGATTAATGAAAACTGGCTGCCGAGTACAGAAGGCAAACCCATTAATACTCAGTCTGAAAGAAAGAGTAACGCTTGAGCTCACTGCTTTGAGACAATGAGATATTATGAATGCCCCAACCGTGGGAAAAACTTCAATCAGCACTCACATCTTACTAGACACTAGAGAATCCAACCACAAGATACACATTCATAGGAAACCAGGCTTCATTAGTTCCACAATTCACTTTGATACATGGAATATAATTAAAAGAAAACTGAACATCTTATATGTCCTTCCCCTTGAGCTTTCACACCCTTTGACCAAGTTTGTCTGTACGCTGGGGAGATTTGAACATTTGGCCCTGGACTGATGAGGAACATGCTGCTTCCAATATCCTGACTCAAAATCTTGTCAAGTATGGGATGAGCCACTTCTATAAGCATAAACCTTCCATGAATTTTTAGTAAAGAAAGGCATATACAGGATGACATGAAGAAAATCCCATTTTAGTTTTCCTACAGAAAATATCATTGAGCATAATTCTGTATGCTTCCAAGCACAGGTGTGGAAGTTGTTAGTAGCACTTTATAATCCTCCTGAACAAAGTGCTAGAATGATTTCCAAATAAGGAACACCCTTGCATTAAGATAAAGGAGGTGACCTGAAAATTTTCAAGACACCAAAAAACCTGTTCTTTGAGTAATACTCAGAACTTTTGCAAAGTTTAGGTTAAAGCTAAATCTAGTCCTCCTTCTGTGATTAATGTCATATTGTAAATTCTCCTTCTTAGGCACAATTGTTCCTGCAGGTGATACTGGAAATTAATTAAGTTATTGAGGTGGAGATAATTTATTTAACTTCCAAAACAGGGATGATTGATTGATATGGTGAAGGGATATGGTGAAGACCAACTGTCTGCTAAACTGTGATAGGGAGAGGACATTTTAAAGGAAGATAGCTAAAATCCAGATCTCGGGTAGAGGCTGTCAGAGTTCTTTTTTTCAGACCTCTAATGTGCATTGGGTTTAGTTACTGCTGGGGTGGAAAAACTATGCAAGGCACATTATTTGGTTTGATGAACTATCCATACCTTCAGTTGCCGAATCAAAGTGTGATAGGATCTTTCGGTTTGGAAATCCACCTGATTAATTATGGAAAATAAAAAAAAATTAAATGAAATTTCAGGACAAAATTACACAAATAATTTCAGTTCATATGCACATGTTTTCTTAGATGTACTTGTAAGCCTTGCACACATTATGAAATCTGTGTAGAATGCCTGAAAATACAGAAGTTGCGGAATACAAAACCACATAACACCGTACTTTTAATTCTGAGATAGTTTCTGTAAATGTGACTTCAGATCAATGTATTTAAGTTATGAAGTGCATATTATAATTTTTTAAAAAGAAGTGAATTTAGCAAACTAAGTTTCTAAGTGTGTTTTCCTATCCTTCAAGTTTTATTTTTTCCCCAGAGTAGCTGGTATACTACCTCGTCTCTATTTGATACTGTAATAAGGTCTTTTTCATTAATATTACATTCATTCATAGCTAATTGTCTTTAATGATTTAAACCAAATCTAAAGAAATAACTTGATACATCATCAACCTGTACAAACTCAGAAGTGTATGTATTGACTGTCAAACATGTTATTGCTTAAAAGTTCTTACACATCAAGTATATAATTTATATACATTATAGGCTGAACATGTTTGTAATCATGAGATTGAATTCAAATGCTTCCTCACACCTTCTCACTCACAATACTAAGTTGCTTGGCCTTTACATAGGACTAAAAAATGTCTTCTAACTTGTATAAATGTACTGACTGATGTGATTATAGTCACTTTTAATTTGGCCAGAATGGGCCAAGAAGTATCTCTCTCAATTGTTAATGTTTTATAACCCCATATACCTACTATGAGAAATTAAATCCTCCTTGCTAGTGGTCACTGAATCACAGATTGCCTAGAAATAAAAGTGGAAAGTGACTGCCAAATCATCCGTGGTTTGATTTTGCCATTCTGTGTAGCTACTGAAAAAAAAAAACCCAAACAAATAAACAAAAAAAAAACCAACACCCTAAACTAGTTTATACTGTAAAGCAATATTCCCTGTGATAAACTCCCTTAAACTTTCTAAGGCTTTGGCTTTTTAAGCAATTATCTTAAACATCTTTCTCTCCCTTCCCCTCTCTAAGTACATAGAGCAGTAGAGGGGTGGGGGAAGAAATAGATACTTTTAAGTTACATGATTTATTTTAAGTGACAGAGGAAAATAGCAATCCCCATCATTTTCAGACCGCTCCTTTAAAACCAAGGCTGTACGTGTTCCTATTGACTCCCTCTTTTACCAAAAAGGTTGCTGGCATGAGCTTGTACGGGGTAGAGATGTGCTCTCAGTGGATGTTTTTTCACTGGCCTCAGTGGATAAACAGCCAAGACCAGTGACTTTACCCTTCACAAGTCCATTTTGTATTTCATAACCTTTTTAATTCTAGGGTGAAGTCTAGTTGCATGCACATGCCATCCTGATGTCTAATGTTTTGTTTTTACAGACTTTGCGGCTTTCAATATTTTTGAACAGGGGTTTGGTTTTCTTTTTTTTTTCCCCTGTGTATATAAGAATTACAATCCAAAGCCTTTGTAATGTTTAACAAATTACTTTCCCGATCTCCTCAATAATATCTTTGGTTATAATGTATATTTTTAAACTTTACAACTTCATGCCACTGAAAGATAATGTAAAACATCAAGAATACCCATCACTGGGGAATTCTGTATACTTTCATTGGAATGATTAAGCATGGGATAAATATAACTTTCTTCTAGAATGTCATATAAATAGGGTTTTTTTAAAAAAAACATAAAAAATTAAAGCACAGTTTTACTCACAGTGCTAATGTTAAGATACATGGAAACAAAAATTTACTTAAAAGAGGGAATGCTGTCTTGGGGGTGGTGTCACTCCGAAATACTGATTTTGTTAAAACAATGACTGTCTCATTTACAAGATCTTTTACCATTGGATTTCTTTTGTGGGTTGAAATGTATGATCTGTGATATTTGTTACCAAGAAGTGTTATAGACACTGCTGACACAGATCAGATAAGAAACTGGGTCAGCTGACAAGATATTCCCTGTAAGGCTACCTTGCTGTAACATTACGTGTATCCTTCTATGTGAAGGATTTTCTGAGCATGGCTTGTAGTCTACTGTATAGTTTCATTTGCAGTTATTGGAAAGTTCTTTCTCCTAAAAAAAAAAAAAAAGAAAAGAAAAAGGAAGAACATGTTTAAATCACATTTCTTTTTAAAGCAGAAGGAAAACAAGTATTTAGTATTTCATTCCTCAAAGCTTGGCAGTTTTCACGTATTGCTCTGTCAGGAGCCTTGTCTTTTCATTCGGCTTCTTTTCTGATTACAGATTATTCATTTATGGATGGGCAGCTGTAGAAACTTGCTTCTTGCGTATGCAAATTAATCATGGTAATGTTTATCATAAAGAGATTTTGTGGCAGTGGAAAAGGGGTTGTGTCAACATGTTCTTGATTTCAGTTGTATCTTCTTTTACAAATGGAATTGGCCTCCTTGCTTCACCTTCAGTGGATTTTTTTTTTTTTTTTTATTTTTTTTTTTTTTTGCCATTTACCTCTTGGACTAGACACTGCTCACTAAGCAAGCTGTTTGATTCACTTACAGATCATGATTTTGGAAGGAGCTGGCAGGATGAGTATCAATTCCAGCAGCAATCTACTCCACCAGCAGCCTTCCTGGACAGACGGATATTCCACATGCAACGGTAGGAGAAATTCAACTGCTCTGAGCCATATTCTTTTTTGGGAGGCTGGGGGAAAGGGGCTGCTACACCTTTAAGCATGTAAGAGTATTATTTTTTATGAGTACTAATTTACTGGAGTTTCACTTCTCGTAAGAAAAATTTTCATTTGTTCCTTCATTTGTAAAAAGCTGAACTTGCAAAAGGTACTTGTTTATTGTTCATTTCCTTACTGGCTCACTTAAAATCTAATGGTGTTGAAAGTTCCAGAAGTTCTCTCTTCTCAGTCCAGAATTCTTTCTCTAGTACCTGTACCCCTCGTGCTTCCTCTGAACCAACATTACTGTTTAATGCTAATCGCCCCTCTGGCTTTCCAGGGGAATAGTATTTTAGCTCCTTTGCTGTATTTGCTTTATCAGCTCAAACGACTAGACAGCTTTCTAATTAGACTGGCATTAGAGCACTAGATAGGTTGTGGCTTGTGATTTTTTCTCTTTTTTTCTTCTTACAGTTTTCTGATTATGTATCTGTGTATATAAAAATGTATTAATATATAGTCTCTCAGTGTAAAAATATTTATAAATGTATATCTTTATAGGTGCTTGACACAATTTTAGAATTCTTTTCATAATTCAATGGACAGGTAAAATCTAAACAGACAATCACATGCTGCTCTTGTCCTTCTGATCCAAATAATACTACAACAAAACTTACAATTAGAGTCCACACTAAATTAAATGCTTACTCTTTTTTATGTGTAATTTCTAAATATGCTGGAATATGTAAACATGTGCTTAGTAAATGTGCCTGTCTGTCTATAACAGTGTCATACAGAAAAAAAAGTCATGTCTGAGTTTCACTATTCCACAGGATTTCATGGAGGGAAATGGTGGGGGTCTGTATCAAATTTCCAGGGTGAAACTCCTCAGGATTCACTTAAGTTTTAGAGGGACAGGAAGATGAAAGCTCAGACCAACCTGCGCAGTAATTCACCACTTCACTTACTTTTACCTAAGCTACTTTCTCCTCTCACTAAAGTACCTTTGCTAACATGAGGATTCTAGTGCCCTTTGAAATCACTTTACTCTTCTGAATTGATAAGAATACAAATCAGCCTCTTTTCAGGGGATATTTGGCAGATCCAGCAAGCCTTTTTTCTCTGACATACCACACTTCTAATAATTTCCACATGCATTCCCCAAATCCTTCAATGGGAGAATGAGGAACAGTCCTGCAAAGTCACTAAATGACTTACACAAACCTTGTTGGCTAATATTGAAAAAGAATGCTAAATAACTGTGGGGATTATTTTTGTGTTACCTGGAAACTGCGTCCTGTACCTCAGCTGAAGAGACCTGAGGTCTAGTGAACCTCAGTTAAAGTGATTTCCTAAAATGCACGAGTTCTGGTGCTTGTGGTCCTCTAGCTATATCCAGTGTCAGTATTTCCCACTGTGTGGTTAATTTTTTTCTAGAAGAGACTGGGAACAGACTGGTGCCATATCCTGGAATGGGATAGCACTGCAGAGCTAGGCCATGGCACTCTCCTTCTGTAATCTCTCATTCCCTCGGCCTTAAACCCTTTTTGCACTTGTGAACATTTTATCTCACCGTCACCTCTGTCTGGTGTAGTCCGTTTTCCTCCTTTCCCAGGGAATAAATTGCACTGAACTCTGTGAGAACAGACCAAAGCAATCCTGCCTTTGCTCTTATCTTACATAATGATCATGCCCCATGTACAATTTCTTCCATTTGCACATGCAAATTATTGTCGCGAGATGACATACAACTGAGCACAGTTTAAAAGGTTGCCAAGAAAGGACTCAGACATTCTAACAAGAAAATCAGGCAGCTTCCATAACTAAAATGAGTTTTACAGCTACATTCAGAAACCAACTTAGATATCTACGGCAATAACCTGCACCATCAGGATGCCTACACTGTCATAAAACCATGGCCCACACTGATAGGCTTTTACTGTGGAGTAGTATGAGAGTGCTTTTAACTTTCCTTTTTCTAACCCCACAATTCATGTTTAGCCCCTACTAAGTTCTTATTCAAAGAAAGTTTCCATGTCACCTTTTGAGAGTTTTGCAAGGCTTTTCCATAATTTTCTGATGCAATAAAATCATTTTCCCACACATCCCTTTTCAACAGTACTTCTGTAAAATGTCTTCCCTCTGAGAATTTTGATGTATTTAACCAATATTAATTAATTAATTCCTGCAAATCAATTTGCCAAGAAGTGTGTCATGAAATAATGCCCAATTTTTAGTTGGAAAACTGAGGCTAAGCCCCCCACAATATCTTCTCCAGCTTGTCCAATGTTAAGGAATGAGAAAAGCGTCTAGATCTGTAGACTTTCAAGATGTGCAGTTTGGCTGTAGATCTTATTGTTGATGACTACTATGCTATCAGGGGCAGTAAATATTTTTTATCTTTTCCAGTATCCAGTAGCTTCTATGGAACCCAATGGCATGAAATACACCCTCAGTACTGGACTAAGTTTCAAGTCTGGGAGTGGCTGCAGCACCTCCTTGATACCAACCAACTGGATGCCAACTGCATACCTTTCCAGGAGTTTGATATCAACGGGGAACATCTGTGTAGTATGAGCCTGCAAGAATTCACTCAGGCAGCTGGGACAGCAGGACAACTGCTTTACAGCAACCTCCAGCACCTAAAATGGAATGGTAAATAGATATTAGAGAGACATGTGTACATTGGTCTGAATTCTGAGATCTTCAGAAGTCATTTACGTTCCCCAGAAACCTGCCTGGCATATTATGTTTGCTATTCTGCTTATAGCTCATTTACTGTATTGCTAAATTTCTTGGGTATGACTTAAGGCAGAAATCTGAAGGATGAAGATGAGAGGGAATGTTTCCCACTCCAAAATCAGCCCTCTGGCTCAGGTGTAGAAGTTGCTGCTTGGAGCTAATATATTTGATTCCCCATTCTCATACCTCCTATCTGCCAATTTGCTTTCTTGCAGGTCAGTGTGGAAGTGACATGTACCAATCTCATAATGTCATTGTGAAGACAGAGCAAACAGGTGAGTAGCAGTTGGGTAAATTGTCTTTTGAAAAGGGGGACCCCTCTTCCAAGGGAGACAAATCAAAGGGGCATTAAATAAAATGGAAAGTGTATAATGCAGAATTAAAGAAGTAATACAAACATCAGTCAGCGCCTTCTGAAGTTTCAGGTAATACTACATGGATGGGGCCACTTTTCCTGGGTGACCTCTGCAGTATCAGCAGTCTACTCTGATGTTCAGAGCTGGAATAGTTTGAGGTGCCATGAAGGCAGCTTTGTAGAGGACTTCATTCTATGCTCCATTTGGCAGATTTCAAAACAAGTATTTTAACAATATCCTCAGTTTAAAAAAAAAAGGAAGAAAGAAAGGAAGAAAAAATATCTTGTTGTGAAGTGCTGTTAATGTTTGAAACACCAGATTTCCAAAGAAAACAGCTTGGGGAGAAAACAAAATGTTGCATTTTAATTTCTTCACAGGTTTCAATAAAACTGAAATTCAGGCAGTAGTTTGGTTTGATCAAATCTGCATTTTTGCTGTTGCAGTTCTTTTTCTGAGCGTGTTTATAGCTAGATCCCTTTCCTCCCAGGGCTTTGTTTAACTAAGGAAAGAACTTCAGCTTGGTTTAGCCGTCCTCTTCAGGCACAATTATTTTCCTTGTTCCTTTGCCAGATCACACCTGTCCATATCCACACATTCTCTATCCCACTAGTCCCAGCCTCTTTGTATGTAGGTGTGTCCCTGAGCCACGTTTTGATATTTGCTAGTAGAACAAATACAGATCTGTTGCATGTGGCGTCTCCAAGAAATACTGTCAGCCTGTTTATCCACCTAAACTGTTGGAGCCCAGCCTCTCCAGCCATGAACATTACCCACATTCTCCTTGCAGCAGGCAAGGATTGCAGTCTGCAATCTACTCCTGGCCTGTGTCTGCATGGTATGGGAGATGTGCATGAGGCAGCCTTGCTGCTTTCCATAGAGGTAACTCCAGTAATCCTTTAAGTCCTGATTTATGAGATCCTGGTGTAATATTATTACCTCAGCTGCACATCTTGGAAAGGACTAACTGATGGATGGTTCCCTGGATGTGGCCTGGTGGGGCTCTGGTGGTGCCAACCACAGCCAGTGGGAGTGGGTTAAGTTTCTACACGTGGGGGAGTGGGA